TCTCATTGCTGAAATAACTTATGTTATCCTCATTGTTGAAAAATTACACTTTTTTATCATAATGAAAGTTGTATTTTCAATGCTAAAATAATAAAAATAACCAATTCAATTCTCAATGTTGGAATAACCAATTAAATTATCATTACTAAAATAACCAATTCAATTACCATTACTAAAATAACCAATTCAATTATCATTACTAAAATAACCAATTCAATGCTCAGTGCTGAAATAACCAATTTAATTATCATTACTAAAATCACCAATTCAATTATCATTACTAATATATCCAATTCAATTCTCAGTGCTGGAATAACCAATTTAATTATCATTACTAAAATAACCAATTTAATTATCATTACTAAAATAACCAATTCAATTATCATTACTATATCAAATTTTCAGAGCTGGAATAACTTATCCAATTCTCAGTATAAAAATAACTAATTCAATTCTCGATATATAAATAACTAATTCAATTCTCAGTGCTGGAATAACCAATTGTATTGAGTTTATATTATCATGAAACAACTTTTTGAACAGAACCATACATCAAATACCATATCATCTGGAATCTAAAGTATGTCTGCTACCTTTTGACTTCTGGTGTAGAATACAAATATCATTGATTCAGAAGTGAGGGAAGCAAGTGGCACTTAATACCAGATTTATATTCAAAGAACAGATATATCATTTCATTGTAGACTATATTTTAAAATACCAAATGTTCTTCACCTCTTCTATAGTAAAATATTGCAGTGAAATATAGTAAAATGCTCTCCCACACCATCCATTTTCTGTTTCTGTATCTGAAAGTTGCTGCAGAAAGATCAGATGACATATCTATCTTTAATATCTGTGGAGATCTTTTTTGTCATAAATTTCCATTGTCTTGATCAGGATGGCTATTTATCTCATTTCATCTCATTTTATGAGCTTGTGGACTTTGACCTTGATAGAGATTTGGATGTAGACTACATTTTGTTTTTTTTATCTGTTTATATTAAGATTACAAAGATTATAAATTGATTGTATATATTTTGCAGTTAAGAAACATTCATCACATAAGCTGCACTGGATTAAATGTATTAATAATAAAAAGTCAATAAGAGAGATATTCATTCTTAAAAGTGGCAAAGCATTGAAATAAAGCAAAACTACAAATAAATGCAGATTAACGGAAATGTAATCTTTCAAGAGTGGAATTTTTGCCTTTTATCCGAATTATCTACCACATAATGGCTTCTGGCAGAGTCTTAACTTTTTGAGATTTGAAATTGGTTCAATAGAAAACATCGGGTGAATAACCTTAATCCAGTATAGGAACAATATGTTGCCTTCAAATTCTTTCTCAGTTTGAAATAGACATTGAGTAAGGTCATAATGCATGATTAATCTATTTTTGGCCACCATTAGGACATTAGTTGGATACTCTGAGAATACAGTATATATAGAACTAGGTGTAGTCAATCTAATAACCTTCATAATAAACATTGTGGCTGAAATCAAAGGCTGGCGATAATACTTCTCACAATTTTCAATTTCAACAATGTCTTTAAGTACACTTCTAGATACAAAGTCTACAATTTTATCACTTGGTAAAACAGTCAGTGCAAGAAAACCATAAGATAGATTACATTTTAAAGATAAAATCTTCTATGGTAATAAAATTTATTTGGCTTTTCAAAATATAAATTAGTCAATTAAATTAAGCAATTAGCTGAACCACAGCATAAATAGTGGTTAAAAAATATAGTCTGATCAAATTTCTGAACCATTTTTTGATCCAAGGAATCAGTGGCAGCGCTAGTGAGGATACAAGGAGGGCATTTGCCCACCTAGAAAAGTGGTTTGCACCTTGAATTGTACCCCCACTTTATTTTCATCAAATCTAAATGTCTACCTTTTTCCTCCAAAATAAGTGCCAGAATGCATAAAATCAATTCATTTTTCTATAAAAATTTTGAGAGAACCCTCTAAGACTCTCTATGACACCACCACAGAGTAGCCAAAACTTGAATTCAGCCTCTGCAGTTGTCCCCCCATTGAGTCAGTCTGCCTCCTATTTGTACCCCCAGTCACGGAAGGCTGGCACCACCACAGCAAGGAATTTACTCTGAAACCCAATGAGAACAAAAGGAGGCTCAAATATATTATACACCCACACAGTAGTAGCTTTGGTGCAGTTTAAGACATATTTTGGCTTAGTCAATAAAAATAACTCTGTGACTCTCAACAAAATCAGAAATATCAAACCAGTTAAAGAATGAATATGAGCATATAAAAATATTGTTTATAAATCTTTCTTAAACAGATATGGGAAATAGCAACAGCAAAACATCATGAGGTAAAGGTAACTGATAATCTAAAAAAAACAGTGGTTTCTTACTTTCACAAAAAATTCTATACTAAACAGATAATGGAAAAATAAAACAAGAAACTTACATTTTACCTATCATTTTCCAAATTTCAAAACTTCTTCGTTCCATACTGGCAGATAATAATGATTTAGCTGGAATTTCAAATATTCCTTCTATTATTGCTTATCTCATCTCTTCATGGTTGACTGAATATTCTTGTCTTATCTTTAATCTGTGAGGTAAAGAGTAAACTCCTCAAATTAAAATTGGCACACGAAATAAGTTACATTAATTAAGATTGGCAAGGCAAGTTGAGTAATTGTGTATCTTTTTAAAGAGATTTTAAATCATGTTATTCTTTAAATTTTAAGGTAATTCAACAAGATATTGAGATGGCAGTAAACCCTTAATTTCTGGTTTACAAAACAAAACTTCTACACTTTTAGAGATTGTTTGCAAATTCGTTTGAGATGGCAACACATGAGATCAGGGGTATAAACATAAATGTAATTAACATTCAGTTAATTGTTTACAATCCTTCAAACTATGGATTTTTCAGTCAACAAAAACATGTTTGAAAAATGATTCTTTGTTCTTGCTCTGCCAAAGAGAATCGCGAAGTAATGTAAATTATAGGAATCAATTTCAAATGAAAAATTGGATACCATCCGTTGTTTTGGTGATATTACCAAATAATGCAGTTTAATTCTCAGGAATTGAACAGTGCTGCTAAGCCACGGACCGATTTTTAAGGACTGGAATACTATCTTCCATTGTTAAACTATGCACTTTACCTACAAAGAGTTGTCATTCTCTGTTAGCCAACAGCTTCCAGATCTGAACAGGAAGTTGATCTTTGTTACCTGCTTCAAGGTCATTTAATTATTCAATAACGATGACAAGGACTACGCCTTATTGTTTGTGATATAACCCATTTTTTTTTCTACAGGAATAGACAAATAACATTTATGTAGCAGTGAAAGCTATCACTTTGATCATTGATCATTATTTTAATGGCATAGTCAGTCTACAATCAATTTTTGGAATATTCTTGTTACCTCCCTTTAACAAAAGACTGATTGTAAGCAGTGCCATTCTGACAGCTTTTCATGTACCGTAACTGAAACTTGACTATACACGAGCATTTTCTTACATTACTTTACATCTACATAGTAGAACAAGAAAGCATAGGTATTTTGCTGGTAGACGTGACATTTCTATGAACCACAAGTTGAAGTGATCGAGTTGGTGCCACAAAATGGTCAAAGGGGGCTCACAAGCAATTTTTTTTCACTTTGTACAATGATAAGAAATTCGAAAAGTGGGTTGGGGACAAAGCTGGATGATGGGTAGAGACATTTATGTTTCCTTTTTATGAGCATTTTAAATCTACATTTCCATACAAACTATCTGACATGACATAGAAGAATTCTCAACAATAGGTCAAATATAACCCCGCGTAATTAACAAGTTCCTTAGCACTGAACCTTCAAGACAGTCTTCGAAATGTCGTTACTAGATCATGCTAGCTTACAAAGTACATGTGCAGACACGATGAACTGAATTACATCAATTTTAATATAGGCCTACCTATAAAAATAAGTAATGACAGATCAACTAAAGAACTGTGAGTAAAAGAATATTATATAACGGACGTGAAAATGTCAAAGTATCAATGTTTTAGACTAACTATATATTGATCACTGTTAATATTATAAATCTTGAGAGAAATAATCAATAGTTCAGACTATTTGATAACTATTCAATGATCACACCGCTAACTTCAATATTTTAATCAAGTATAGAGCTTTAATATTACTTATTCTTACATACGACTAATATATTGAAATTATTACATTGGCAACACTGGTGAATTTCAATGCTGGAAGAGATTTTGTGGCAACGAAATGTATCGTGCATATATAGGCAAATTCTTTCAGTTCAGCACCGATGTTTTCTAAATTTCGGGGAATCTAAGACGTTGTCCTTGCAGCATATTTTTGGGGAGGAGCTTTTCTGGACGTATTTTCACATTTATCTAGCATGCATCTCAGGTCAAAGGGAAAAACAGAAACAAATACTTTCAAATATCAACAATATTGATATGCATTGCTGACATTTTCAAACATAAGAAAGCACTCAGATATTTCTCTTATATTCGTGGATTAAGTGTGTGTTGACGTTGGTTTACATGTATATCCATTATACGTTTTTTGCTCTCTGATATGTTTACCATTGTAGGATAGGTATTCACTGTGAGGAACTAAAATTATCTTGGTACTACTACTCTCTGTCATATATCCATCGCAAACGGGGCAAGGGGGAAGGGGGTGCCTCGATGCCACTATTGATACAATTGACTTGTATGGCTCATCTGAATATTCTAAATTCCAACACCAGAAGATTTTTACTCCCCAAGTAGCCAAGGTTAACGTCAATATTCAATATTGATCGAAGTAGCTATTTATTTCAAGTAAAACCTGTATTATCTTGTATTAAGTTGAATTAGTCAAGTTAACATGGAAATTGGATGTTTATATAAGATAAGATTGTTCCTCAACTCGATTCTGAAACACTATTTTAAGAAATGGCGCGCGCCACATTTGTCTTTGATTGCCAACAGCTGGGTGTGTAATGTACATCATTGGAACTATAACGCGGTGTAACCTGGAAGCCGGCCAGAATATAATCCTACTTTCAGACTCATGGTTCCAATATTTCGTCTACCTGCATCTGGCCGTTAATGTTAGCGAGAAATCGGTTAACTGTATCTGATATAGGAGATATTTTGATTGGATAATGTTTACCATGGAGAGTTCAAATTGAAGAATTAGAAATGTAAATACTATAACAATATTCTCGGATGGATTTTGAAATGAAATTCAATCCAAGATTTTAGTTTATCTATTTTCAAGGTAAGAGAATTTTTATTACGTTGTTGTTGTGGCTGTAAGTAGGAATGCTACTCAAGAATCACTCGAGAATAGTAACAAACCCGAATTTTATAATTTCGACATAACTTTAACATTCCATTTAATATCACAACAATATATTGTCTAATATTAGAAGGTTCCAGCTTGGATCTGAGGAATATGCCAAGGACTATCATAGCTGGTTCCTCCTGAAAGCTTGATCTTTGTTCGAAGCCAAGATGAATCAAGATGAATCATTATAACCAAGTCGGAGAAATCGATCAGTAAGAGCACTAAAATGGAAGTGGTGGAGGGGGGGAATCTAGGACGAATCAAGAACAAAATATTAGGCTGTTGATAAAATGACTAGATTTTTATAGCTTCTCTCGTGGGTAAAATATTATTCAGGTTTGACAAGCAGAAGTTGTATGGTTATTCATATTCATAATTTGCTGTTATATGCAATGACAGTATAATTATGATGTTCGTGTAGACAATTAAACTTTATAATTACTTTTTTATAATGAAATAAAATATATAAATATATAGTCACGTGATGGCATGCATAGCTAGTTTGTCAGGGTGCACTGCTATTTATATTTAACGACATGCATAGTTATAATATAAATTAATGATAGAAATTGTATAGTAATGATCGATATATCAAAATTGTATCCTAGTTACTTGCATAGCTATTCTGTATTGTTGTGACTTGCATGAATATTTTGTTTTGTAGCTAAATTGTATTGTAATGATCAATATAGCTAAATTGTATCGCAGCTACATACATGACTATTCTGTATTATTATGATAAACATAGCTAGGTTGTATTATAGTACATGACTATTCTGTATTATTATGGTAAACATAGCTAGGTTGTATTATAGTACATGACTATTCTGTATTATTATGGTAAACATAGCTAGGTTGTATTATAGTACATGACTATTCTGTATTATTAAGATAAACATAGCTAGGTTGTATTATAGTACATGACTATTCTGTATTATTATGATAAACATAGCTAGGTTGTATAATAGTACATGACTATTCTGTATTATTAAGATAAACATAGCTAGGTTGTATTATAATACATGACTATTCTGTATTATTATGATAAACATAGCTAGGTTGTATTATAGTACATGACTATTCTGTATTATTATGATAAACATAGCTAGGTTGTATTATAGTACATGACTATTCTGTATTATTAAGATAAACATAGCTAAGTTGTATTATAGTACATGACTATTCTGTATTATTATGATAAACATAGCTAGGTTGTATTATAGTACATGACTATTCTGTATTATTAAGATAAACATAGCTAGGTTGTATTATAGTACATGACTATTCTGTATTATTATGATAAACATAGCTAGGTTGTATTATAGTACATGACTATTCTGTATTATTAAGATAAACATAGCTAGGTTGTATTATAGTACATGACTATTCTGTATTATTATGATAAACATAGCTAGGTTGTATTATAGTAAATGACTATTCTGTATTATTATGATAAACATAGCTAAGTTGTATTATAGTACATGACTATTCTGTATTATTATGATAAACATAGCTAAGTTTTATTATAGTATATGACGTTGTGAAGATGTGTAATCACATACATGGCTTTTCTGTATGTATAGAACAGACATACCTGGCTATTCTTGTACTATGTACCAACATATCTTTTATCTTAAATGGTATACATATCTATATTGTGAAATATGTTCATTTGAATTTTTATTACCAATTTACAGACAAACCCTTTATCGACAAACAAACAAAAATCTGAAATAACGCCTGTTTTTATGGTGATAAATAACAAATAGAAGGTCTGTCTCTGTTCATGTGGGAGGCGTATGTTTTTCTGTAAGAATATTGTCAATATATAGTTTCATTTTATTTCCAGATAATGTCGCGATTTTACTAATTAAATTGTATTATATGAATAGGATTAAGAGGTTATTTTTAGTTCAAACTTGTCAACTTCACCATCTCTTATTAAATCAGCCTTTAGTTTCTATATTTGGATGTTAAATCGGGATTTTATCAGTTATTATGTAGGATTACGATGAAATGAGATGGTAATGTGTGGTCCTCATTATAAATATCATTAATTGAGTATTTTCATCACCTTTACTTCTGGGTCGCAGAATTCTGAGTGATATAATAGTATTATCTGCATGTTAATTATCACCAATTCTC